AGCAGCCCTCGCCCAGTATGCTCAGAAGCAGACAGGGTCATCTCAATCTTCTCGTTCGATCCTAACCTCGAGCCATGCCCACAGAATCCCCATCGAGGGGAGGCTAGCGGGCCACCTGTGTCGCTCTCCGGAACAACCCGTGCATCTACTAGGAGGTGGGTTAAGGAGCAGTGGAATGCCACATGAGGGCTATGCCGACCCCATTATGAACGATGGACCCGGTTTCCGCTCGAATGCACCAGATAGTGAGCTCACCGAGCGCGTCACTCGAGCCATCGAGGCAAGCGACGTTAGCTTAGCCCCTCCGATTGCGAAAACCATGGACGGGGTAACGCACGGAACTAGACCAACCCGTACCGAACCCAACAGGGCTCAGGGGCTTAGGTCGCCTGACGTCGACTCGGGAAATCAAACACAGGAGTCTGCGGCCCCAGGAAAGAGTGCCAAGATACTCAACCTCCAACCAACTCACCAGTCAGATGCAGGCTCGGGGGCTACACCCACCGGGTGCGCTCGCGCACACCCGCTGGCAAGTCAAAAAACCCCAGACGATTCTACCCAAATCGCCTGGGGGCTCGGGGGCTACACCCACCGGGTGCGCTCGCGCGCACCCGCTGACAAAATGAAGAATCCCCTAGATGATTCTACTTGAATCGTTCGAGGGCTCGGGGGCTTCTGTCGGGTTCATAAACATGGGGTCCCTAATGGGCCCGCTTCCCAGCAAAAGCCCGTCCCAGCAGACGACATTACAGACGACGCGCAACTCCTAGGCCGGTCCAGGTACCTAACGACAGGCCAGAAGAGTGATCCAGTCTCTGACCGGAAGGCCTCCGACTCTGACCGGCTTCTCCGGTTGGAAGGCCTGGTAAGGAGGGGACGACGCCCGCTTCCGACTTTGACCCGCTTCTCCGATCGGAAGGCCTAGCCAAGGAGGGAACGATGCTCGCTTCCGACTCCAACCCACTTCTCCGACCGAAAATACACCGAACCTATGCTTACAGCTCTTTCTATGACCGGCGCGGTCGGAGCTGACTGGGAACGACCGAACGGGAATGCCCGCTCGGTGAGGACCCGAGAAATCAAGCGGAGCAGATAAGGTGAGGCGTTCAAGTCAACCATAATACCGAGGACCGTACCCTATACACCTGCAGGACAGTACTGATAGGACATGCTAGAAGAGTGCTTTGTGACCTTTCAGACATGTCAGAACACAAACAGTGTTGTAGGCATCGATATTTGTCCTACAGTATGGTAGGCGCCGACGTTTGCCATATCAGAAGAACACGATGGAGCCTACCACAAGTATCAGGACGTCAACAGTATTATGGGCGCCGACAAATCGTCTTGTACCTGATGGCATGGGCAACAAGACTAGGTAGCACACACGCTCTCTTTCCCTCACACTCTCTCTCTTATTTGTAAGGCCATCCCCTTCACCTATAAAAGGGGATGTGTTCCCTCCTAAGAGGAAGGGAAAAAAAGGGACAACCGACGGATCATTCCGACTCATTCTCTGCTAGCTTTAGACATTCTAAAGCTACACAGAGCATATATTTCAATACCTAGCACACGTAGGAGCTCCCGTCACTCTCGGCCCTTCGGTCCAGAGCTCGACCGGACCTCTAACACCCCATCTTACTCCCACTCGTTTGTAACCCCATAGCAAACTTCGAGCACCTAGGCTCAGGAATAAAAGTCACCGACCGACTAAAACTGGACGTAAGGCATGTTGCCTGAACCAGTATAAAGCATGTGCCATTGAGTGTTAGGCCACATCCGATCACAACGTACGACAAAACGATAAATATTTATTTGTTGGTCACTTTTCACGCCGACAAACTCCTTTGATATTTTTTGCTCCCCCCAGCTTGTGCATACTATGTAACAAGTTTAGCATATTTTTTAGAGTAGCAATTTTAGTATGACATGGTAGTAACTCCTTTTTATATTTTTGCCATGAGCTTGTGTATACTATGTGACAACTTGTATATTTTTAGAGTAGCAACTTTAATATTGCACGTATTACACATAAATTGCTATTGAAATAAAATTCTTTAAAACATATGTAATTGGGGTCTAGTTTTGTCCATCTCGTCAAATGGAACACACCGATATAGATGAAATTAAAAACAGATGAATCATTTAAAAGTTATAGCAATTAAAAAAATGTTTTGCTTTTTTTCGCTTACGTCAGCATGCATCATTAATGACTGGCACATGCAGCAGCGGATGGACGGGAGTGGGATCGTATCATTGTACGGGAGCGGGTGGATCTCAGTTATATGCCTGGTTCGTTTGAGCCTTACGTGACATATAAGCCATGGCTGAAAATATTGTTGGTTAATTTGGTGTGAGAGAAAAATACTGTTCGTTGGCTGATAAGCCATGGCTTATAAGCCAGATACGACTAAGCGAACAAGCTGATAGCCAGCAGATAAATCTCTTACCTCAGCTTGCTTGCGTGTGGTCCGAATCCGATCAAGCAATGTTGGGGCACACGGAGGGGTCGCGCGCTCCCCCCGTGGCGTGACGGGTCGCGCTATAACGCGGTCCTTTTCTTGTGTCTAGGAAGATGAGGTTCAGGTGATAGGTTGTGGATCAAGGAGACATGTTATGTTTTTTCTGTCTCATTTTTTTATACCTACTCTCCCTTCATTTAAAAAAAAAGATACGAAAATTTTAAAAGATTTGACTTTAGAACGTAAAGTGAACTATGTTTTAGAACAGAAGGAATATTTAACAATGAATGGTCTATGTATCAACCGTTGGACGTATAATTATAAAAGCATTTACTGTTGTGCATGTATTAATAGAGTAGAAGCAAAATACAACAAAACCTTAAAAAAAAACCAACCACCCTCACAAAAAAGTCAACAACACAACAAACACCACATAACCATTGCCGGCGAAACAAACCCGGGGGCCATCGTGGTCGCACCGCCACAACAACGACCGCAGGAAAACGCCTTTAGCAGTCCTGGTCACTAGCAAGCGTGAGCAGGTACCTCCACGCCGGTCTTCGCAGACCGCTTCCAGCGAAGCCATCGCTGGTCCCCACAGGTCGCCACCAACCACCACTACGGCAAGGACGAACAGCACAGGCACAATGGAGGATGTCCTTTTGCGCTGCCTCCAGGGAGGGAAAGACGTCGACGGACGCCTTCAGAGCAGTAGCTTTTCAACCAGAGAAAACCTCTCAAAGATAAAGGGCCTCACAACAATGCCTCAAGGAGGGACATGGCGCTGATGCATCATCATTGTTGGCATCAGCACAAAGCCAAGCAAGGCTTTCACCCGAGAACCCCTCCCCACAATAAGGTTGCCGCGCCTGAGCTTAGACTGTCATTGTCACAGAAAAACCACAAGGTAGCATACCGAGTTGGACGTCGCAAATCGACACCAATCGCCATGACATGTCCACAGGAGCCGCCTCTATCTGGATGTCGATGCTGCAACAAATAGGCCACAAATATGCGTGGCAAGTCACCGTGGTGCCGATCCTCGCGAACCGCTAGCAGACCAAATGCCGCTAACCCCTACAGAACGCCCCCGAAGACCTCTACAACCGCACAGTGCACATGTTTCCTGCTCGGCCACCGTTGCACCTGTGTTGCCAACCACCACCTGACCACCACCGCTGCAACACTGGCCACCTCAGCACATACCGCAGCCCCTCGGGATCTGGACAAGACCGGCCAGTTAGGGACGCGAGAAGGAGAGGACCAGGGCTGTGCAGACTCAGCCGCCGGCCACCAGCCCCAACCATGCGGAGGACGCCCCGTGCCAGAATAGGAGCAGATCCGGCCGTAGAAGCGCCATACCCGGGCACGAGGCCACCGGATTCGATTGCGAAAGGTGCTGGCGGGCCACCCGCGACCACGTGGCCGCTAGGCCGCCGGACAGCAGCTGGGCGCTGAGGACCGGCCCGCTCGACTGTAGGCACATAGATTCACCCCCGACCTCACGGGATCTGGCGGCTGGGGCCGCGGATTCGAGTGCCGGCCGCCAAAGCAGCCACCACCACACCGGGATGAACCACCACCGAGAGGAGGGAAGGAGAGAAGGAGAGAAGGATGGGAGGAGGGCCCCGCCACCACCATCCTCGCGCCTGTGCGGCCTCCGGCAGAACGCTCCGACAGAGGCCAGGAGGCACGGGGAGGGAGGGAGGAGGGACTGGCGGGGAGGCAGGCGTTGCCACCGGTGTCGCCCAAGCGGGGTGACGCGGGGGCCAAGAGGAAAGGAGACTGCCCCGTTCGCTTGAACTTATCAGCCGGCTTATCAGCTAGAATTTACAGTATTTTTCTCTCACAACAAAACAGCTTCAGCCAGCTTATGTATCTCTTATGATATGCAGTATTACAACATAATTGTCCTTGGCAGAGACATAAATGGAGTGGTTGATAATTTCGCAAAGAAAGTAAGGCGGGTTTCGATTCTGAGTCTGCATTCTAGAACTGTACTATCCATATGGCTGTGGAAAACTTTCATTGAAACATTTTCTATATCCCATCTCTGTGCTACATTTTTAAGCTTAGAATGAAATTTATCTTTTTGAAAAAAATTTTCCAGGAAATGAACCCATAGACACAAGACAAGTGAATTGAATTCGGGTTGAATGGAATATAGCATCGGCCACAAGTTTGCGTCACTGCCAGTGCCAACTGCCATGTCAGTATCCCATTCACCGGCCAGTCGCGGGCCGCTCGCAGTCGCATGAAGGAAGGAACGTGCAATGCTTTGCTTCAGATTTCGTACAGCACGCCCCGCAAGACAGAATCGTGTTCATCTCTTGGCGAAAGGCATTCCTTACCGCCGACCCTCTCGATGCTAACCTTGTCGCTGTCCAAATCAAATTGCTGCCCTATTCTCTCAGCAATCCTCTTATACTAGGTCCATGCTCCCATCTCGTGCGCGCCTCCTTCAAGCCACGCCGAGCGGGCCGGGGTGTGGCGACTACTCCGATCGACTAGGCAAGCTTATCCTAGCTCTGCTCTCCAACCATGTCCACGGGCGCGGGCGGCGGCGTGCGACGGCGCCGGCGGACGTGGCGCCTGTACTGGTGCTACGTGTGCGGCCGCGCGGTGCGCGCCGTCTCGTACCCGACCTCGGACGTCTTCTGCCCGCGCTGCTTCGGCCGCTTCCTGCACGAGATCGACCTGCCGGCGCCGCGGCCCGTGGTGCCGCCGGCCGACCAGTTCTTCCAGCCGCCGTTCCTCCCGCACGACGGGCCCCGCCGCTGGATATACACCGGCGACGCGAGGGACGACCCCACGGCCGATGCCGACACGCCGCTCCCTCGCCGCCGCCGCCGGCGCGTCCCATCCCCGCCGCCAGCGCCGGCGACGCGGCGGCGCCCGGACGACGAGGACTACGACGTCGACGTGCCACCGCCACTGCCACCACCTCCCGTCGGCTGGGACGAGTTCTTCATCGGGCCTAACCTGAACGCTCTCATCGACCGGCTCACGCAGGACGACCGTCCCGGGCCGGCGCCGGCGCCGGAGTCAGCTATCGACTCGCTCCCCACGGGGCCTAACCTGAACGCTCTCATCGACCGGCTCACGCAGGACGACCGTCCCGGGCCGGCGCCGGCGCCGGAGTCAGCTATCGACTCGCTCCCCACGGTGCAGGTCTCCCCGGCGCACCTGTCGGACGGCTCGCAGTGCCCCGTGTGCAAGGAGGAGTTCGAGCTCGGGGAGGCCGCGCGGGAGCTGCCGTGCAAGCACGCGTACCACACGGACTGCATCGTGCCGTGGCTCCGGCTCCACAATTCGTGCCCGGTCTGCCGACAGGAGCTGCCGCAGCAGCCGGCGGATAGGGCACAGGATGGCGGCCGCCGCGAAGAAGGAAGCAGTGGCGAGACGGAGGCGCCGCCCCCGGGGCCGGTGGTGATGGCTGGTTGGGGGACCCTGGCTTGGCTGCCATTGTCACGCGGGCCGGACGGGGACGGTTGGGTGAGGAATGAAGCGAATGACGGTGACGCTGACGCTGACGCCGGCGGCGGCGGTGCTTGTGCACCGGCTATCCTTCAGTCTTTTGTCGTCGTCGCTGCTTGCTTTGTTGTCCTCTCGTTCTTTGTTTGAGACTAGTAGGAACCGCGCGCAATGGCTGAGTAAACACATGTAGGTTTATATGCAGGTTTTGCATGCTACATATATATGCTGTTGATGTCCATAATAAGTCCATGATGGTGTAGATATATATACACCATGCATATTGTACATCTGTGTAGGTATACATTACATGTGTTGGTATTGCAAACATTAAATTTACTGATGCCCCATAATAAGTCCATGATGATGTAGAAAGGAAGTGTTGGAGTTTCTAGGCATATTGACGCTAAACATATAACACACAGATATCTAGCATTTTGTTGTTTCTACATATTTGGACAGGCTATTCTCTTTTGTTGCGAGCAGCCGTCCTGAGATAGGCAAGAGAAGATGGGGGATCATAGCGTGCAGAAGCTAATCCTTCCCATGTAACAAAAGCACAAACTGGTTTCCCTTGTTTTTTTTGTCTGGAAAAATATGCAAAAAAGTTAGGAAACTAACGAACAGAACACATAGGTATACATGGCATGTGTAGAGCAACAAGCTAAAAGCAGGGTAACAGCGCTACAAATAGTGAGTAATGTTGAGGGAAGTGTTTTTATGGGCATAAAACTAAAAGTAAGAGGAATCATTTGAGCCCATGTAAGGTGCAGTAAGATGAATAATTTTTGTCGGTGGGATCCTTATTTTAAGGTTTGAGGTTAATCCCTACGTCATTTTTACATTAAGTTATGCCACCTTGTATTAGCCCCTAACTTATTTTCATTGTACTGAAAGTAAACTAGGATTGTATTGGAGCTATTGATGGCACATACATAAGAGCATCTATTCCTAAATATTTGGAGCATTCGCCACTGAAATGAATTTGTATGGACATGTTTGATTGCTGAATTTAATTTGTATGGACAAGTTCACTGCTGGAATGAATTTGTATGGACATGTATTGACATGGCAAAGAAAGTTTGCAAAGATAACAAGGCTTAGGAAACTGAGTGTTGCTGGTTGGGATGAAATCAATTTCATAATAACTATTGATGATGAGCACTACAATGGCTATGTTCAGGTATAATTGGCCCAACTTTTCTAAAATGTTGGCTTCTCAGATTTAGCTACTAATATAACTTGTGTTGGCATTATAGGATCACAAGGCTGATGCTGAATTCTTAAACAGGCCTCTTGCACACTTTTCTGAGATGCAAACAATCTTTGGAAACAGCATGGATACAGGAAGGTTCGCCAAGGATTCGAATTTTGCATTAGGTACAGAAGATGCTAATAATGAAAATGAAGACATGGCTGCAAATATTGGGGGTGAGATGATTGGACAAGGTGGGAGTGAGATGAATGCAAATGGTGAGAGTGATGCCACTACATTGCCTACTAATCATGGGGCTACATCATCGGGCAGCAAGACAAAGAAAGCAAAAGTTAGTGTAGATGAAGAAGAGGGACTGATTGCTGCGATCAATCATGTTGGTGACAGACTTGCACAAGCTATAGAGAAGGCCACTGCTCCACCCCCGCCACCCCTCAGCAATGAATTATCAGAAGATCTATCATCGGCCCCGTTCGTTTCGCTGAAAAAACAAGCTGAAACACTGTTCTAGCTGATTTGTTGTGAGAGAAAACACTGTTCCGGCTGAAAAAACAAGCTGAATAGTACGGATTATAAGACAAGCGAACATGGCCGATATGTTGGTTGGCGTTCCAGGTTTTGAGGCCACACACATATCTGTGTACTTCCAACATCTGGTGGCCAACCCGGGCATTGGGAAGGTGTTCTACAGGCTTTCATTTGATCATAAGTTAATTTGGATTGCTTTGTTTGTTGCTGAGAGGTTCCCAGGACAGTAAAATGGTGACTGTAATGGTTTTTTTGCTTGCCACGAATGGAACAATTTAGGTGTGGTTTAACTAAGTCGAAGGCATGAACTTTATATTATATCATAGCCTTGAACCTTGTAGTATGTGTTAGCTGTTATGCGTAAGGCTTTCAGCTTGCTGTTATCATGTACAAAAGCCTGCAATCTGTACTGTTTGAAAACTAGAACTTGACGTTAGCTGTAAGCATGTCACATGCTAATATTTGTGAGGCATGAACTTTAAAATTATAGTAAGCCTCGCACTTGCATTTTACATATGAATTTGCCATTTATTATATACATGTGATGTGATGATTATTTTCAATGACAATACACATGTACCCAGGAGTTCACTAATCACGTGTACATGTACCAGGAGTTCACTAATCAGGTGTGAGTACAAATAGATAGAGGTAACTTTACCTATGTTGTGAGGGAGGTAACCCCATACAGATGTCATGTCTCTATCCCTTCATCCAAACAAGAGAGAGGACCATCCCATCCCATTTTGTCCCTCAAACCAAACAAAAAATAGGGACCATCACATCTCTTTAACCAAACAGAAAAATGGAACTACCCCATCCCATGAACTAGAGTCAGGACCATCTCGTTCTACCTTAACTCCGAACCAAACACAACCTTAGAGAGCAAAAAACGGAGTTGTAGAGGAGATCTATGACGCAACAAAGTGGAGGCATGTCAAAAAGTAACGTGCATATGATGGAGCATGTAGGGAATCGTCTTATTTAGCCCAAAAAAATTTAAGCAATCTGCGTAGAGAGAAACGGAGAAGGAAATGCTATAATAGATTGTACAACAGCAGAGGAAGAACAAACATTTTAGTTTATATAAGCAATGCCGATTATATGATAAGAAGCAGAGCCAGGGGGGTCTGTATCAAGGAGGTAGATCTGTTTGAACCTGGGGCATTTACGGTGCTGTTGTTAGCGTTCGTTTCGTCCACTGCTCTTCTGTTCCTGTTTGGAGTCTTCTATCTTCGACCTGTACATAATACAAAAAGCTAATATCATTGGATTGATGTAGGTGTAGCAGGGCTGTTCTTGAGCTCTGTATGCAAACCTACTTCTTGGCCGTGGAGGTGGAGTTGGCTAATGAGGCAGCCTTTTTTTTGGCGGTGCCCAATCTTGTTTCCGTCGGTTTCTTCACTACTTGTTTGTTCCTGTATGTTGAGAAACAAATGTGTATATATGTTAATACTGGCCAGGTAGCTCAGGGAATGAACAAAGCTGCGGCAAACCTGAGCACTTGAATACATATGTTTGTGCATTGATTTACAAAGTACCGAATGATGGCACCAAACAATTGTTGCATGCGTACCTCTTCATCGGTGTTGCTATCCTGGAAGAGCTGCCTGAGAACAGACTGTTTTTGTGTAGGACGCCTGTTAACAGTAAGACGCTTATGTCTGTCAGTGATATGGATTGCAAAACACAACATGAGTGTCTGAACTGTGATGATCATGTGCACCGGTATTGGATGGTAATCCAACTCACTCAGTGGAAGTGTGTTCCTGCGGTGTCTGAAGCTTGAAACCCGGAGGAGGTGTCTACAGTGGGAATCGAAGGGAAATTTTGTTAGTTTATTTGGTTGGTCCAGATTACCCAAATGTAAAGGTAGCAATATAGAAATAAATATAAGTACAGGGCATTCAAGCTGCTTACCGGAATATTAACTGGGTTCATAATATCAGCGATAAGACCACTCTGTTCATCCTGTGACACATTATGCGTGGTGCCTCCTATAGTAAGCGGCGCCGGTGTTTCTGTAGATGTAAGAGAAGCGAAAGATGTAAGAGAAGCGAACACCTCTTTGTAAACAACATTTTTTGTTTCATTTGTACAGGCACCAATTTCATCCTCTATTAAAAGTTTAAGCCCCGGTCTTGAAGTAACACGAGAGACGGCAACATACAACTGGCCATGGGTGAAAACCGGCTTCTTAAGGTAGACACCAACAGCAGAAAGAGTTTGGCCTTGGCTTTTGTTAATAGTCATAGCATAGCATACTTTTATTGGATACTGACGCCTCTCAAGAACAAATGGCCACTTTGTATTTTTTTAGAGTCAAAGAAATCCGAGGTATAAGGACATTTTCGCCTGCATGAGTTCCAGTCATGATTTTTGCCTCTATGATCTTGTCTCCTAGGGCTGTAATGGTAAGCCTTGTGCCATTGCACAGACCATCAGACTGGTTCAAGTTACACAGTAACATCACTGGTACACCCTCTTTTAGAAGTAACATCACTGGTACACCCTTTTTCAGAAGTAATCACCGATACCGTTGAACATCTTGGTTAGCCATACTATAACTATATCTTCGAGATATCTCCACACCTTGATTGGGATATCATCAGGGCTCATCGCTTTACCCTCTTTTATTCTTTTCAAGGCTTCTCTGACCTCCAATTCTTGAATCCGTACAAAACGCCTATTAGTGTCATCAAACGAATCGTTCAAGCTGAACGGTGGTGTTCTCATTCTCACCATTGAACAATTTATCAAAATAATCTTGCCATCTATGTCTGATCTCATCCTCCTTTAACAAGAGCTACTCCATCTCATCCTTTATACACTTGACTTGGTTGAAGTCCTTTTTCTTCGTATCGCGAGCCCTAGCCATCCTATAAATGTCATTATCTCATTCCTTCGTACTCAAACGTTGGTAAAGGTCCTCATAGGCCCGCCCCTTTGCCTCACTCACCGCTCATTTTGTAGTATTCTTTGACACCTTATACTTCTCTATATTGTTTGCACACCTGTAATGATACAAGTGCTTATAGCACTCATTCTTTTCTTTAATAGCCTTTTGCACATCTTCATTCCACCACCAAGTGTCTTTCGAGTCGCATCTGCTCCCTTTGGTCACCCCAAGCACCTCTGAAGCAACTTTTCGAACGCATGTTGCCATCTTCTCCCACATGCTGTTTGCATCGCCTTCATCATTCCAAGGGCCTTCTTCAATGACCTTTTCCTTAAAGACCTTTGATGCCTCCTCTTCTAATTTCCACCACTTCGTTTTAACAACCCTAGCTTGTTTGTTCCCACGAGCTTGCATCAGAAAGCGGAAGTCAGATACCACCAACTTGTGTTGAGCGACCACACATTCTTCAGGTATCACCTTACAGTCCACGCATGTTCGTTTATCCCTTCTTCTTGTAAGGACAAAGTCAATTTGACTAGAGTACTGGCCGCTACTAAAGGTCACTAAATGGGACTGTCTCTTACGGAAAAAAGTGTTAACTATCATCCGATCAAAAGCTATGGCGAAGCCTAAGACTTCCTCTCCCTCCTGGTTCCTACTACCATATCCGAAACTTCCATAAACCACCTCAAAACCTATACTTGATGTACCTACATAGTCATTAAGATCATCTCCTATAAAGAGCTTCGGCTACATGGCCATCAAATAAACAAGGCTGTAAAAAAATGGCAGGCAAAAGCAGAAGCTTTTTTGATACCACGTACATGATCCCGACGTATCTCCCTGAATAGTTGCATCCATGAAGGCGCAAGAGCTCACTGCTGTGGACACTAATGACGCAATAAAAACAAGGAGACAAGAGAGAGGAAAGGCCCCAAACAAAAGCACAGATACAGTAATGTAAAGGGAGATTGTGTTGGAAAACAAGGCAGGTATGCAGGTTTTTTTTTGATCGGCGCAGCATAATTTTGCTGCGAAATCCCGCAAACAATAACAAATAACACACAAGCAACAGGCTGAACATAGCAAACCTCAGAAAGGATCGCTCATACAGTCAATCTCCTGCAGCAACTCCTCTGCTGAGGTAAGCATGGTTAAACTATTTGGTAACCCATACTGCGAAGCTGTAACAACCATGCGCGAAATGTGTGCGCCTCTGTTGGCAACCGAAAACAGGCGCCTCATAAGCTGCCTGCACAGAACCAATTCTCGGGAACTATAGTCTACTATGGTGAAACCATATATAGCCTGTAGACAACTGAGTGCCTGAAAAGAAGCATCTCCATTGTTGGCAGAGCAACCGAGATGTGAACCTGACCAAAAAAAAAAAAAAAGCCAGCGTGGCACACGTTGTGGAGACAATGAAGGCAGGTCAACCTCAATGCCATATCCCATTGGTCGATTTGGAAAGTGCCCCCTCACAATCCCGCTTCCCGAGCGACAATCTTAACGGGACGGAGGGAGTAGGTCAGTACCGCCTAATTTTTTACAATTTTGTTTTTTTTAAGAAAATTTACGTTTGACCCCCCGGGAGACTTAAACTTATCTTTGGACCCTGGGGTCGGCGCTAGGAATCATGGCGCCGAGTAACACGTCTCGGCGCCACAGATCTTGGCGCCGAGGTGCCTGGCCGAGCACAGCAAGCCATCCTAGGTGGCGTTCACGTGAACGACATCTCGATGCCACAGATCTTAGCGCCGAGCTCGGCGCCAAGATCTATAGCGCCGAGCATTGATTCAAAACCTGCGACCGCAGCTCTCTCTCTCTCTCTCTCTCTCTCTCTCTCTGCGCGCGCGCACGCGCTCTGTCTCTGCCTCCTGCGCCGCCGTCGACCGCAGCTCTCCCTGTCCGCGCCGCCGTCAACCGCGCCTCCTGCGCCGGCAGCAGGCCACCGGCGGGCGTTCGGTCCCTGCGCCCCCTCCATTTCCCGGCTCCTGCGCCCCCGCGCAACCGCCCACAGCAGGCCACCGCCGTGCCCCCGTCGCCCTACGAAGCCCGGCTGCCCTCGTCGCCCCTTCCCTCCTCCTCATCTCTGTCCGGCGGCGAGGGCGGCCCACCACCGCTCGCCGGAGCTCCCGCCGGCCTGGCTGGGCTCCGGGCCCTGCGCCCCCTGCCCCTCCGGGTACCTGCGCCCCCCTGCCCCTCTGGGCCGTGCGCGAGCAGGCCGTCCAGGTAACTTAGATTAGTTAGTAATTTTTTAGTTAACTTAAATTAGTTAATGTACTTTAGATAATTTAGTTAGTAATTTTTAGAATATTTAGCAAATTTAGTTAGCAAATTTAATTACATAGGTTGAAAGTTAGATGCTTATTTATTTAGTTATATTATATACTTAGGAATATATGTATATAGCTTATTTAGTTAGATTAGATTGTTAGAGACATAATTAGGGAGTTAGTTACCTATTGATTTAGTTAGCTAGTTAGTAAGTGTAGTTACCAAATCTCTTATCTTGTTATAGAGATAGTTAGATACTTATTTGTTTAGGTCGATAGTTAGGAAATTTAGTTAGATATTATGGTTAGTTATCTTATAATAATATACACGTAATAACTTGGTTGATGTGTATACCAACTAGATGGACAACATAGCCATCCTGTATCATGGGGGAAGTGCGAAGGAAGATGAGTTTGGTAATGTCAGTTTTGTTGGAATGCAAAGGGTGCCAGTGATATT